AAGAAGGAAGAACAGAGAGTGAGAAGCGGGGAGAGCAGCTAAGGACTGTAGCCAGTTCAGGTAATTAATTCCTTCATCAAGTATTTACTGAAGGCCTATTACATGCAGACACCTTGCCTTGTCTGTGGTCTCCCTCTCCTCTAAGCCATGAAAGCCTATACCCTTCCCCTCCTCAGCCCTTCTCCAGAGCCTTAGGAGGTAGCATCTGCCCAGCATTCCCGCCCAGGCAGGAATGGATCCTTTCCCTCAGGTCTGACTTTTCATCTTGGCAGGGGTTGGGTTGCAGGGCAGGAGCACAGGCCCTCCCAGCTGTCAGGGTGAGGCCATGCCTTTCAGCAAACCTTTACTGAATGCTTACTGTGTGCCAGGAGCTGCATCAGGCCCTGGAGATTCATCAAAAGGAGCAGCATAGATTTTTGCCCATTTTCTTCAAGTTGCTGTGCACGTGCACAGATGACCTTAAGAAGCTGCAAAAATAGCATAGGGTACCATTTTGCATCCTGCTTTTTCACATAACAAGTTCTCATGAGTATTTTCCTCAGTTGTATCCATAATAAACTTGAGGTGTCTACAAGAAACCAAAGCAGTTAGTCAGCAATATAGAACTAAAACGTCATACAGTGTAGGAGATAATCATTTCTTCATAATTGTCATTTGCAATGATGGCTGTCTTGATGGCTACTTAGCTTTGAAATTTCCCACTATTTTGCTATTATAGGTAATGCTGCAATAAATATCTGAGTGTATATATCTTGCTTTTTCTCTACTGAATTAGTTCCTCAGGGAAAAGCATGATATACTGAAAAGAATATTGGAGCCACAAATGTTGAGTTCAAATTCCAGCTCTGCTATTTACCTTGGGCAAGTTCCTTACTCTTGCTAAATTTCAGTTTCGTTTCTGTAAAAAGTAGTTCATAATTCTCATCCCAGGGCTGAGTTGTGAGGATTGATTCTATGCTGATAGGTAAAATCGTTTTGAGAGAGACTTGGATTTGAATTCTGGCTCTGCTGCCTAACTTGGACAAGATCCTCAACCTTTGTAAATTCAGTTTCCTTCTCTGTGAAATGAGAATTAAAGTGTGTACCTAATGGGATTATTGAGAAGGTTAATGAAATATATAGAACATGTTTATTATAGTGCCTAGCATACAGTAAGGGCCCAATAATAAATGTTAGCTGTTATTATCATCATCATCATAATAATTATTCTATAAAAAGCCAACACTTAGTAAATGTTGGTGTGGCCACGTCCTCCACCTCAATCTCCTACTAATGAGAAATAGTCAAGAGCTGGATTACTGGATCAAGGGTAAGGCCATATTGCCATATTGCTCACCAAAAGATTGTATTCAACTTACAATGCCACTAGCAATACACTGAATCTACCAAGTTCACTCCAACCTCACCAACAGTTTTTCCTGTTACTTTTGTAGAGGCAAAATGGTATCTTGAGGTTACTTCAATTTTCATTTCTTTATTACTGTCAGGGTGAACATGTTTCCATATGTTTTGTTTACTGTTTGGATATCTTCTAGTGTATACGTTTTATTCCTATCTTTTGCCTGTTTATCATTTAGAATCTTGGTGTTTTTCTTGAAAATTTGAATACACTATTTATTACAAATATTAACTACTGCATTTAATGCAAATATTTTCCCAGTAAGCTGGAGCCAGAGAGGTCTGGTACAAATGAGGGACAATCAGGGTAAAGTTCTGTGTGTTCAGGAGCATTTCTGTGAGTGGGCTGCTGTCTGCTGTCATGGTGAACTCAACCACTCTTGTGGCTTTAACATCCATATCTGGACATCTCCAACCCTGCATAACACTCTAGTTCTATATTTCTGATGAACTATAGGATATTTAGTGGAGCTCTAATGGCAAAGTGGTTAAGAGCTCAGGCTGCTAACCAAAAGGTCAGCAGTTTGAATCCACCAGCTGCTTCTTGGAAACCCTATGGGGTAGTTCTACTCTGGCCTATAGGGTTGCTATGAGTTGGAATTGACTCAACAGCACACAACAACATGGGATATTTATTCTTAGTTGTCTTGTGGACACTTCAAGCCCAGTCTAGATGTAACTGAACTCATCAGTTGTCCCTCAACCAGCTAACTTTCCAAACGTTCCCATCTGGTCCTGTATTAGCAAGAGATTTTGGGCTGTTTCTCTCTATATATGTATATACTTACAATATATATAGTAAAAAGGCCTCCCAGAGTCTCTCAGACAGGCCTCCTATTGCACTGTCTCCCAAATTATACTCTTGAGTTATAAGTCATGTGTCCTGATTTTTGATTTGGAAAATATGATGATCACACATACCAAGAAAATGAGAGAAGAGGCAGCCAAGTTGACATGTTATCTCAGGCGTTTTTTGCATGCCAGCATCTGCTACTGAAACCCATGCATGTGAACCTGAAGCAGGTAAACAGAACAATCCCATGGAGACTGCTACCCAGTGACGGGTTTTTGACAGAGGGAGCCAGGAATTAGCCAGGGGAAAAGAAAATACTAGAAATCATTGACTTGGCCACTTGACCCAAGTATCTATTTTCCTTATTTTTATATTTAATAGTGAACTTTTTTGAAATTGTATGGGTAATTAACTATTTTTAATAGTTTAATAGCTACAATATTGATTTTGTCTTAGTATTGTGACTTTTTCTGTTGATGCTTCAATCGGGATGTGAGCACTATAAAATCAGAAAGTGTGTTTTAGCCTTCCTTCTAATACCTAGTCCAATGGCCTTTGCCACCTATGTATAGATCCAGATCCTTCTAAAATCAGCTGAAGTGGGCAACATGAGTTGCTATAAAGGAAACACAGCAAGGCAAGCATTAGATCAAATATAAAAAGTAAAAATTGCTTTAAATGAAAACTAAAGTAAGTTACATTACTATTTCTAAGAGAAGCCAAGTTGATGACATCCCACATGGGTTTCTCTCCCTCTTATGTCCTCATTCTCCTGCCCTATGTCCCCAAATAAACATTGGATCACTAAGATGTCCCATCCTCTAGAGACAAGAAACTACTTCCAACAACACACACTTAGAGCAAAAACAGTTTCTTAGTCTTTTTGGAATATGCATTGAAGCCCAACTCCATACAGTGCTAAAGTTCTCCTTCCCAGAGTTGGGTGTGCCTGTGTGTGGTACATGTGTATATGTTGTGGGCATGTGTATGTGTGTGTGCATGGATATGGACATACTGTGCTCATGAGGGCATACTTTTACACTATTTAGGGGAATGGTGGACTCTATTTTCCTAAAACCAGAGTATGATAGTGTGAAACCCACATAAGTTTCAAATACTAGTTTCTCCCCCTCCAAGGGTTATGTCTAGGGAAGAAGAATAAAGTCAGATCTTCAGGCCCAATGCATTCTAATTCCTTCTACAAAGACAAACTAATGTTTCTGTATTTAAATAGGGTGCTGGGAAGTTTGTAGGGACTATCTGGAAGAAGGTGGAAACCAAGAACTCATATCACCAAAGAGTTGCTCACAAATAGTATGGCTTTCTAAATTCCAATCAATGCCACTCTTCTTGGCCTGAGGGTACTGATCTGAATTCCCTTCCACAGTCATAGAGAAGGCCTCACTAGTTTCCGCCAGGGGCGTCTGACTCATGGCGACCTCATGTGCTTCAGAGTAGAGTAGAACTGTGCTCTATAAGGTTTTCAATCACTGATTTTTTGGAAGTAGTTTCTTCCCAGGTGCCTCTGGGTGTCCTCAAACCTCCAGCCTTTGGCTTAGCAGCCAAGTACCTTAAATCATTTGCACCACCCCAGTACCCCAGAGAACTTCTGGGATGCGTCTATGCTGGGATTGGTGAGCCAAAACCAAACCAAACCCATTGTCAGTCTATCAGTTTGACTCATAGCAACCCTATGGGACAGAAAAGAACTGCCCCATAGGGTTTCCAAGGCTGTAATCTTTACAGAAGCAGAATGCCACATCTTTCTCCCACAGAGTGGATGGTGGGTTCCACCTGCCTATCTTTCAGTTAGCAGCCGAGGGCTTAACCACTGCACCACCAGGACTCGTGATTGGTGACAGAGTCTCTTTAATTCATTCCAGGACTTATCCCACACTTCCCCAGAAGAAAAACTGATTAATTTGCATCCCAGGTGATTATCTCTTCCTGGAATTAATTCACTGATAGCCAGTCCCTCATCTACAACACTGTGTAGTAAGGTCAAGGGCAACATTCCGCAGCAACTTCCTTCCCACAGCACCACACACAAAAAGACCCACGCACTCCAGCCAATCTCGAGGGTTCCAGCCCAGCCCGGTTCACCCTACACTGTTTGGCAAGTTCATCAAACTCCCGCCCTTGAGGTGGGAACGTTTCTTGTTGATGAGGTGCCAAACCAGCCAGACCTTGCTGACTGTCCGCGTGGGATGGGGAGAGGTCTTCTCTTAGCTGCTCTGGGGCCGAGGGAGAGTGTTAGGAGGGTGAGGAGGATCTGGAACAGTGTGGAAGCACGTGGGTGCGCGCGAGCCGCGGAGGGCGCGACTGTCTGAACCCGCTTCACCTAGCGTCCCACCCCAGTTCACGTGCCTCCCGGCCCAAGCCCCAGGACGGCGTAGGTGTGCAGTGAGCATGGCGCCGCAACGCTGCGCGGACTCCCACCCCGCGGGGACCCTGCGCGGCCGGTCGCTGCCCGCGTGTCCCGACCGGGGGCGGGGCCGCCGCACGGGACACATCCGAGAGACACGACCAGTAGAAGGCGTCAGCTCGGCCAGGTTCGGGACCCCTTACCCCTTGCGGACCCGGGAGGCGCAGTCGAGTCCGTCTGGCTGCCGAGTCTGGAAGGACCAGCAGTCATCTCAAAGTGTTTTAGAGAGAAACTCAGCGCAGATTTCTAACTAGTTTGCCTCTTCCCAACCCGCAGGCTCCGCCCGCAGCTCCCGGACGCACGCCCGGCTCTAGGGAAGCCGCAGACGCCAGGGCCACTGCTGGACCCAGGCGCAGAGAAAAGAGAAAGGAATTTGCTCTATACCTGATCCTCTCCTTCTCTGCCCTTTGTAGCTCCTCATTTCTTTCCAGCACTTGCAGGATCTTTCTGGCTTCTTCATCATTTAAGAAACTGAAATCAAACGCCTGAGGAACTTTCGTCATCTCCTCTACGGTGTGTGAGTTTTACACTCAAACTCCTTGGCGCCTCCTGTTACGATGGCATTTTTCAAGGTAGAGAAAACTAGTCTTACGAACCTGAGCCTATAGCCAGTAGTAAGTCCGCCCCTTTGAAAATCTAAAACTACAAACGTAGGGAACGGCCCACACCTACAGGGCTTATTTTGACAACAGCTTAATGATAGGATTCTCTCAACCTGTCCAACCGAGATGCAAAATGCACGACTAGAGGAAGAGAGGGAACCAATCCCATTCCGAAGAGGCGGGGCCCCCGCGTCCCCTCCCTTTCCCCCTCCCTCATCCCTTATCTTTGACTTTTTAAGCAAACAAGTCTACATAATTCTGCTCCTGAGGCTGAGGCTTAAATGTTGACTCGAAAGCATTTGCTTTGGCCATTGCTATTCGCTCTCAGAATTTGGGCTTGACTGGTAGAAGAAGTGAAAAGGAGAGAGATTCATGACTAATCCTCGCTTTCAGTAATTAAGAGCCCACAGAAAAAAGAGTTGCAAGTCGGAGTTTTTGAACTAAAGGGTTACCCCAGAGGAGAGACCAAGAACGGCTAAACTCACTATAGGGCCATTTGTGGGCAGACCCTGCATAAGGGCTGAAACTACTAGTGTATCCTTGGAAATGAACGCTTTGCCAAGCTTCCCATGCCTCCCTCGGGCACTTCCTATCCCATGTCCCACAAAAGTCAGTCTCAAACTTTTTAAAAAGGACATTTAAGGTGTAGGTCTCTTTAGGAGAAGACAGCCCTGGGGTAAAGGATAGTAGTAACACTTGTGTGTAGTTTTCTTCAGGTTTGATAATCTCTTTAGCAAACTGTTTCAGAGAAGTAATACAAGTGCCACTTTCAAATACTTGGTCCTCTAAATAAATGAAAATGTAATTCTACGAAACTGCAAAAATAGCTTTTCCTAGAATGTTAATCAATCCGAGGTGTAATGAGCAATGAAAGATGATGAAAATTTCCAAATATATTAATATATATGTAAACATATATGTGTATGTATGCATATATGCGTGTGTATGTATATCTAAAGCTTGATATATATAAAATTATCAAGCATTTTCCAGAGAACACATTGCTTCTCTTGGCTTCACTTCCTACACAGAAATTAGATCAGTTTTCCTACCCCATCACCTCAATTTGGTCACTTCTAATGTGGTAATGATGACTATTAAAATTTAAAATGTACTTACACTGGTGTCATCTCTTCTTATGGCAAATAAAACCAATAAAGATTTTTTTTTCTGTATATTCAAAATACATATGCTGTGTATATTAAAAAATGGCTATTTATGTTTTGGCCTCTGGGCCTTCTAATCATCTTGATCTTCGTTATTTAAGACATACCCAGGCAGCTAGTTGTTCAAACAACATTCTGTGGGTGTATGTTTGTTATTTGTATGAAGCAGGAAGCAATTCTGTTCACCACTGTTGTACAACACAGAGAACAGCTTTGTAAATAGTCTGTGTTAATGATGGTGGTTTAGAAGTGTGTATTGTACATGGTGGCAAGTGTTTTCTACTCATTAATGTGTTCATTATTCACTATTTAGCATATACATGAGACTTTTCATCGCAGGCACTGCTGGCTTTTAACCCTGTTCCCATGTATCAGTAAATTGCTTTCAATAACATAACATGGTGCCAACTATATGAAGGTATTGTACACTCTAAACAAGATTGTCCTTGTCTTTAAAAAATTTGTAATCCAGCAGGGGAGCTATCAAACTATTTTATTCCTACTAGGATGGCTAAGATAAAAAACAAAACAAACAAAAATCAAAAAAACAATATTGGCAAGACTGTGGGAAAACTGGAACCTTTATCCATTGCTGATGGGAATGCAAAATGGTATAGTCATTGTGGAAAACAGTGTGGCAATTCCTCAAAACACTAAAAATAGAACTACCATATGACCCAGCAATTCCACTCCTAGGTATATACGCAAAAGACTTCAAAGCAGTGACTCAAACAGACATTTGTATACCAACGTTCTTTGCATCACTATTCACAGTAGCCAAAATGTGGAAACACCCTAAATGCCCATCAACGGTCGAATGGGTAAACAAAATGTGCTATATACATCCAAGAGAATACTACTCAGCAAGTAGGAGAAATGAAGTCTTGATACATGCTACAATATGAATGAAGCTTGAAGACATGCTGAGTGAAATAAGTCAATCACAAAAGGACAAATATTGTATGACCTCACTAATATAAAAAAACAAGAACAGGCAAATGTATAGAGACTAGTTTATTAGTGGTTACCAGGGGCGGGAGGGAGGGGGAAAGAGGGGACTTTTGCTTATGGGGTACTGAGTTTCAATTTACAGTGATGGAAAAATCACATTGATTAAGAGTAGGGTTGCACAGCTGATTAATGTAATTACTGTCAATAAGTTGTACACCTGTAAAAAGTTGAATTGGCAAAAGTTGTGTGATAGATATATTTACAACAATGACCAAAAAAAAAAAAGGGTAGTTGCCGAGGCTGCTTATGTACAACAAACACCTCATCGGATTTGGTTCCTTGGTTTGGAGGTTTAGGGTCATGGTTTCATGGGACATTCCAGTTAATTGGCCTAATATCATGTTCAGTGCTTCTGTTCTATCTCCTAGTTCATTGCATAGTACCTGGGGTCTTAAAAGCTTTCAAGCAGCCAACAAGTTCCAACAATTGGTCTCTATTCACCTGGAGCAACAGAGGAAGGAGGAGAGTCAGGAATAGAAGGAAGAAATGGAATGTGTCGCTAATTGCCTCCATGAACAACTTCCTCTATTGCCATGCGACCAGAAGAATTGGACAGGGCCTGGCTACTATTACTGAACATTCTGATCAAAGATTTATAGCAGAATCCTGATCAAAAGGGGGAAAATGAGGAACAGACTTCAAATTTTCATGGACTCCAGGCCTTCTGGAGCCATGGAGGCTGGATGAACACCTGAAATTAATGCCCTGAGATAATCTTTAAACCTTAATCCTTTAACCAGAAATATCCCCAGAAGTCTTCTTAAAACCAAACAATAATTTAGCTTAACTAGTAAAGAATGTCTGCCTTGAGAATTGTGGTCTTTCAAGATCTATGTATGGGATCAAATTGACAACAGCAACTCGAAAGATTAGATAGGAACCTTAGGGGGCAGTGACTTTATGTTAATGGGAGAGGAACCATTTGGAAAAGGATGGTGAGAATCATTGCACAACTCAAAGAATATAATCAATGTTGCTGAATTGTACATGTAGAAATTGTTGAATTGGTGTATGTTTTGTTTTATATATTCTCAACAACAACAAAAATAAAATAAATTATGTATGTATATTGAGGATAATTTTTTTTTTTTCACAGAGGTACCTTTCTGGCCTGTTTTTGACTTTCCTTCCTGTACAATCCAGATGTCTGCTTTTCCAACAGCAGGGGTGAGTTTGGGTGGTAGCTTTCAGTTAAGCAAGCAAATACAAGTCACCTGAATGTAAGATGTTGGTAACATGCCTTTATTAGTAAACAAGAGCTGCAAAATTATAAGAATGAAGTTTGCACAGGGAGTTTGCACTGTTGTTCAATTTCATTTTTCACTATTCTGACAGTTTCTTGAATAGGTTTTCAAGTCTAGGTACAAAACTCTTTTGGTTCTCCCTGAGTCTTCAGTCCTGAATCTGCAATTATGGAATAAGGATTTAATGAAAAACAGCAGCTTAAACTTTCTAAACATTAAGGTTGTGTTTTTTTTAACCTCTAAAATAGGAATGATAATAGAACCAACTTCATAAGATTACTGTAAAAATTCAGTGAGATGATGCACATACAGCAATTGACAAAGTCATCACATAGTTGATGCTCAGTAAATGGTACCTATTAGTAATATTATTTGCACACAAAGCAGCCTACATTATTTTTTCAAAGTTTACCTTTTTTTTTAAATAATTTTTTTATTGTGTCTCAATGAAGTTTCCCATTCAACAATTTCTGTACAAGCTGTTCAGTGACACTGGTTACATTCTTCACAATGCATGAACATTCTCATTATTTCCATTCTGGTTGTTCCATTTTCATTAATCTAGTTTCCCTGTCCCCTTACCTTCTCATCTTTGTTTTAAAGTAATTGTTGACTGTTGATTTTTTTAAAGGAGCACAGTACTCACGGGTGATATTCTTTATTTTGTGAGCCAACAACACCTTTAGCTAAAAGGTGACCTCAGGGGCTAGTTTTGGTTTAATGTTTGAACTATGTCAGGCCAATAGTCTCAGGAGTCCTCCAGTCTCAACTGGTCCAGTAAGTCTGGAGTTTTTAAGAATTTAAGGTGGTATTCCACATTTGTCTCCCATTCTACCAGGCTCTTTCTCCCATTCTATCAGGAGGCAGCCTACATTTTTAAAAGTAACATTTTTTTTGACTACAAAAGCAATACCCACTTGTGGGAGTTTGGGGAAAACTGAAAAATAAAACACCAGTCAGACAGATGGAGATCAAAATGTCAGCTTTATTACCGGTGAAGCTGAACTGAACAATGTGGCTTAGTTCTGCAGTTAAATGGTCTTACTAGTGCCGTCCCTCCCCAAGTCTAGTCCCTGACTTGGATCTGTGGAGCAGACATTATTGGTGATAGGAAGGTGGCAGGGAGAATGACTACCAAGTCCCTCAAGCTTTTTAATGAATTAGTCCGTGTTATGGATTGAACTGTGTCCCCCAAAAATGTGTGTCAACTTGGCTAGGCCATGATTCCCAGTATTGTGTGGTTGTCCACCATTTTGTGATCTGATCTCATTATCCTATGTGTTGTAAATCCTAACCTCTATGATGTTAATGATGCAGGATTAGAGGCAGTTATGTTAATGAGGGAGGACTCAATCTACAGGATTAAGTTGTATCTTGAGTCAATCTCTTTTGAGATATAAAAGAGAGAATCAAGCAGACTGGAGAGGGACCTCATGCCACCAAGAAAGAAGCGCTGGGAACGGATTGCAACCTTTGGACCCAGGGTTCCTGTGCTGAGAAGCTCCTAGACCAGGGGAAGATTGATGACAAGGACCTTCTCCCAGAACCGACAGAGACAGAAAGCCTTCCTCTGGAGCTGGCACCGTGAATTCAGACTTCTAGCCTCCTAGACTGTGAGAGAATAAATTTCTTTTTGTTAAAGCCATCCACTTGTGGTACTTCTGTTACAGCA